CGAGGATTTTGACTGGGAAGATCTCCACGTTCGGTACCACGAAGCTATGAATGGTTGCCACAACGAAGAGTCGGAACTGATGCAGGAATGGGAAAGTCTTATGGCTGTATTACTATCCCTATCTGATTCCTATTTCTAGTACTAACGAACATTCCAGTACTTCCGTATCTGGGCAAATTCAGGACTTGAGCATGAGACTGGTCGGACCTACTCAAGGTAAACATACCTTCTGCAAAGTCGTGTAGCCTACTGACCATTTGCATCAGGCTTCGTACACGCATGGCTTATGTTCAGAACGCTGAAGAAGAGTTAGAGAAGAAGCGAAATCACTGTACGATTCATGAATATCATTTCGTCACCTCTGCACAGCTAACATGTAGCAGACATCAGCGTGGTCAAAGCCTTCGAGAGTGCGCTCAACCTCCTCAAAGCCAACGGCATTGGTCGTTGATGCTCATCAACCTAGGCGTCATCTATCTTGCTCATCATCCACCGCAACCAGCAGTCTTACAGCGCCTTCCACGCTCCGACATCGTAATGTCACTTTTGCCTTCGTCTAGCCCCCCAACATATGCTTCGTCAACTATGCATCCAATGCGTTGCTCTATAATGTAACCATCTTTCCCAATACCGATAACGACCATGTTGGAGAGATGTAGTCGCGACACACGATACCCGTTCGATAAATCATTTGAAAGACATTCATTGCCAGGTGTCTGCTCTATCTAAAACCCTAAATCAGCCGCTCAAGATTCTATTCGAAATGCACCGCCTTTTGCCAAGGTCTATACATGGTTCCCATGCCCTCCGTAGATGCGCTAAACAATGAGATGCCCATGCCTTTTTCATGCGAGGTATACCAGAAATGGTCCAAACGTGGTCCAAGCTTGTGATGGTGATGATGTGGCGAGTATTTCGTCTATAGAAGAGGGTTGGAGCGGTACTCGGGCACGACGCCGTTTGTTTGCGACTTCTCAGCCTGGTTCTCCGTCTCGAGTTCGTTGCCGACGCTATCATCTTGCTCGGCAAGCCATTTCTCCGCCTCGAGAGCGGCAATGCAGCCAGATCCTGCACTGGTGATAGCCTGACGATACCGCTTGTCCTGAACGTCACCAGCCGCGAAGACACCCTCGACACTTGTAAGACCTTCTCCGGGCTTGGTGATCAAGTAGCCGTCCTCGTCCATATCAAGCTGTCCCTTAAACAGCTCTGTGGCGGGGTCGTGTCCGACCGCGTAGAACAGACCCTTTGCCTCAAGGGTCTGCTCCTCCTTTGTGACATTGTTCTTGACCACTAGTTGTGTCATCAGACCGTTCTTCTTCTCTTCGCCCTTGATCTCGCTCGCGCTGGTGTTGTACAGGATCTCGATCTTGGGGTGCGTTGTCAACCGGCGGGCGTTTGTTCGGCTGGCACGTAGCTGGTCCCTTCGTACGAGCACAGTAACCTTGCTCGCCTTCTTGGTGAGATACAAGGCCTCCTCGACTGCCGAGTCACCACCCCCGATAACGACCAGTGGCTGCTCGCGGAACATGGGGAGGGAACCATCGCATACGGCGCATGCGGATACACCGTTACCCCAGTACTTGTCCTCGCCCTTAAGATCTAACCTTCTAGCCTTTGCGCCGGTCGCAATGATCAGAGCATCAGCGGTGTGTTCCTCCTCCTCGATCTCCTCCTCGTCGCCCATGGGGTGTAACCAGTACTTGAAGGGGCGCGCTTTTAGGTCGACCTTCGCGACGGTCTGGGAGATGATTTCGGTGCCACAGGCTTCAGATTGTTCGCGCATTTGATCCTACAAGCTTTTAGCACTAGTTTGCGCGTGTCTATCGCGTGATGTTACTGACCATGAGCTTTCCGCCTCCAATCTTGGTGAAACCGGGGAAGTTCTCGACTTCGTCTGTTGTGGTCAATTGACCACCTGCGGCAATACCGAGAGCCATGAATCCCTCGTACATGACGGCTGCGCATTATTAGCATACTGCTGGAAATAGTCGAGAGACAGCGTCTTACGGTTCAGATCCGCTCGTGCGGCATAGATAGCTGCGGTATGGCCTGCTGGCCCCGAGCTGTGCACGTTAGCATTCTTCTCCTGTTTGCGCCGCTGATTGCAAAGCTTACCCAATGACTGCAAACTGTTAGCACTCTTCCCGTCACAAGATACTTGGACACAACTCACTGACTAGTTTTGAATGCATGTTTCGCGACTGTAGTTTTGAAAAGGTTGATGCAGTCGAGAGCCCCGCTACTGGTGATACGCGCTGATTATGCGATGCCGCAGCAGCGATGGGTACGGAGAATAAGGATAGGTTGCGGGGGGAAGAGGCCCTTCGAAAGATTGATGCGAACACTTTGGCGGCGTGTGCGAAAGTTCGCGTGTCGCGTGCAAGATGTGGCTGCGGGCGCGTGGGTCGTGTGCGGGATAGTGGGATGCGAAAGAAGGTGCCTTATGAGAGAGGGATCAAGTGGCAGAGAAGGAGCTGGAAAAACGGTTTTGATGTTGCCGCAGCCGGTTCACAATTAGTGGGCGTTGTCTTTCTAGCTTCGGAGGGTCCGCGATATTGGTGGATGACGGCGAGCCGAGGCGTGGTGGGGGTTTTCAAGATGATGCAGATCGGGCTCAATTCTGAGTTGCAGTCAATACACAGGCACTTCAGTATAAAAAGGAAGACAGCGCAATAGAGAAAGAAGAATTCGAGAGTAGAACACACCTTATTTGCAAGTATAGCACATGTCAGAAGAAGGGAGATTTCTGCTTGCAAAGAAAAAAGTCGGCTGCTTGCTTTCGATCTACGCCATCGGCGGCCGGGGTCTCATTCTTAGAAATCGACCTGTACTAGACCCACGTTCCACGCAGTCCACGCATCTTGCACATCTCGCCCTCAAATGTCCGATGCTGACACGCTTATGCGCGACACGATGCGGCTCCCGAATCAGGGACCTCGGCAGACTTGTTCAGGAGTACTGGCCGGATTGTCACAGTTTCGTCCGGTCATGACCGTGGTCTGGAGAGGCGAGTATTTGAATGATTACAGTTCGTGCATGTTCTGGAGCCGCACACGTCACGCTTCACTTTCTATCTTCGTATATCGGCCCCGCGCTTGGAAGGAGCATCTCAAGTCCGTTGTAGCCTTGCAACGCTGCTATCTAATCTTCTGCGCCTGGACGCTTTCTGAGATTCTCCACATTGTAGAGCATGTCTCGCACTGCTTTGTCATCTGCAAGTAGCTTGTCACCACCCTGCTCGAAGATCTTCAGCGTGTTTGCCAGCTCAGGATCTTCGTGCCATCCGCCAGCTTGCTGTCTGGCGAGGCATTGCAATCTTGGCACCTTGTATACATGTTAGTTGTCGGCTGCGAAGTACTTCTGAGCTTGGTTACGTACTTTGTCTTCTCGAACTTCAGTCGTTGAGCATGGCTTTTGGACGCTGTCGATCGAGACGGCCAGTTTCAGCGACCCTGTAGAGGTGTGTATAATGGCAACACCAAGTGCGTTACCGCTCAATGGGATGGAATCTCCCAAGGTAGATACACCTAGTTTGAAGCTGAATAGCGCGGGTACACCCTCGCATGCCACGAGGATAGTTTCAGCCTACCGAAAATCAGAACGAAACTAGAAGGACTGAGGCTCAGTGGCACTTACCCCGTCTCTAGTTGGTAGACTCCAAATGCCCGTAACCGCAACTTTGAAAGTCGCAGACTCTACACCTGTTGGAACCAAGCCACGCTCCTGGAGATGGGCGAAGGCGAGATCTCGGATGGCCAGCTTCTCTTTCAAAAGACCATTCTGCCAGTCCCAGACAAACAAGTGATCGTCACCACCACCAGATACAAGTTGACCAGACTGTGTGAAGCAAAGTCTGCTTACGAACGCCTCGTGGCCGAAGCAAAAGCCCTCAATAATATGTGCTTGCGGCGGGCCTCTTGAGATTCTGATATGCTCGTCTCGATCTGCTGTGATGATGTAGCTCCGGCCCTCTACCTTTGTATAAGCGACATCCGTGAGCATAGAAACGTGACCAAGGAGCAACTCATGCTTGAATCGCATAGGCTCTTTGGATTTCGCTGGTCCCTTCGCTTTCTGCTTAAGCTGCTCTTCGAGAGTCTTCCTATTTCTACCAGAATGAACGGTCAGGGTAGTGGCAGAAGGCATCCATTCTTTCTGATCCGGCTGTGCAGTCGCTGGTGTTTCAGACGGCTCTTCTACTTTATCGTCGTCAGGTGATGGGAGAAGTGGAAGTGCATACACATCGCCAAACTTGTCTGCACACAAGATAGTCGTGTTATCGGATGTAAGAATGATCGAAGAAGGTCGTCTCGACATGCACCTTCTCCAGGTCAATCTTTGAATTGGCTTTGCGTCTTTTGCTTCTTACCTTTCGCTAAGTTGCTGCAGTCGGTTCTGCGAATCGATCTGGAAGACGCGAATGCATTTGTCTTCACCAGTTATGCCAACCAAGTATTGTCCATCGCTTGAAAGAATGAGACTGGAAAAATTCGACCTCTGCTCCTTCGGTTGTTCCAATTTGATGCGTTTTCCTGGTCGCTCTTCGGAATCGCCCTCTTGCTGATCCTGCTCATGTTAGCGATGCGCAACCACTTCTTCTACCAAGTCGAATGCCACAACATTGAAACATGATGTTTATCACACCATCACTCACTTCAATCTGATTGTCTTGCGGTGGCCATGTCGTCGTTGCCCCACGACTGGAATGAGCTACGATCTTGGAGCCGCTCGCACCGAATATCACCCACTCTCCCGCAGATTCTGAGCTGTGCGCTACAATGCACTGGTAGGGAACAGACATGATGTTTGCGTCGGACACTGCCCGGTGGAGTTGATACTACTTTTCTATGAGGCTCAGAATGCGCTAGCGCGTTACGCGAGCAGGGGCCACCCACAGCAGACGACTTTGATTTTCGCTCGGTCGAACTTTCTCTTCCTTAAACCATCAACAACACCCAAACTAAGACCTTAAACATCCCTTTGCGTCACCGAACACAATGGGGGGCAAGAAAGAATCCAAGGCCGCTTACTTCGAGAAGCTCGAGGCTCTCCTCAAGGAGTACAAGAGCATCTTCATCGTCACCGTTGACAATGTCTCGTCGCAGCAGATGCACGAGATCCGTCAGTCGCTCCGCGGCGAGGGTGTCGTCCTCATGGGAAAGAACACCATGGTCCGCCGTGCTCTGAAGGGTCTTATCAACGACTACCCCGAGTACGAGCGTCTCCTTCCCCACGTCAAGGGTACGTCTTCCGATCCACGCGACCGCCGCGCACGGCATTAACAAAACTATAGGCAACGTCGGTTTCGTCTTCACCAACGCCGACCTCAAGGACACCCGTGAGAAGATTCTCTCCAACCGTGTCGCTGCCCCCGCTCGTGCCGGTGCCGTCGCCCCCGGCGATGTCTACATTCCCGCCGGAAACACGTAAGAACATACCTTGTGCAAATCATGCAGCAGACAATTGACATGTGGCAGTGGTATGGAACCCGGAAAGACCTCTTTCTTCCAGGCTCTCGGTGTCCCCACCAAGATTGCCCGTGGTACCATCGAAATTACCTCCGACTTGAAGCTCATCGAGGCTGGTAACAAGGTCGGTGCCTCCGAGGCTACCCTGCTCAACTTGTTGAACATCTCTCCCTTCACCTACGGTATGGGTATCTTCCAGATCTACGACAACGGCCAGACCTTCGACGCCTCCGTCTTGGACATCGAGGAGTCCCAGCTGCTCAAGGCTTTCTCCTCTGCCATCGCCACCATTGCCAGTATCTCCTTGGCTACCGGCTTCCCCACTCTGCCTTCCGTCATGCACTCCGTTGTCAACTCCTACAAGAAGGTTCTCTCTGTTGCCATTGAGACCGACTACGAGTGGGAGGAGATCGCCGAGCTCAAGGACCGCATCGCCAACCCCGACAAGTACGCTTCCGCTGGCCCTGCCGCGGCTGCTACTTCCGGTGGTGCCGCCCCTGCCGCCAAGGAGGAGGCCAAGGAAGAGGAGAAGGAGGAGTCTGAGGATGAGGACATGGGCTTCGGTCTCTTCGACTAAGCTGCTCACGTTTGCGATGACACTTGTTGAGAGATATCGGCATGACTACGGTCTGCCGAAGCACGTCTTCATGATATAGACAGTCAACGACAATACGATCAGATGAACTCGAACAAATGTAACACTCGTGATGCTCACAAAGCGTCTGCGTCAGGACATACACCTGGTAAGCCCACCCTCCTTCCACCGTCGCGCTGCTATGATTATTATCGCTTTTTAACCCTGATTCACTATGAGGATCAAAAACAACAACAACACTCTAATTTTTTAATGAGCAACTCTTGTTCCAGTCATTCGTTTTCTACATATAACAAGGCTCGAAACTGACTTTACAACAGACCTACTCTTTGCTCCCACATCTTGGTGTCCCGCAACCGTTGACGCATCAATCTAACTGTAGTTCACCCAGTCTCCGCCAGACATCCCGCCTTTTCTAGGTCTATACGCACCCAGAAGCACTTCCACAATGCCTTGCCTCCCAAGCTTTTGCACACGCTCTCGCTTTGTACATTGCCCGTGTACACATCCGCGTGCGACCATGCATTCCCGTCGTGGTCTACTGCTAATCCCGGCGCATGCTGTCGGAACAACTTTGCCGCAACAGCCTTCGCTATTCCCTTGCCTCGATATGCCTCTTCTGTATGTAAGGTAACGAGAGATCCATCTAATCCGAGAAATGTCCACGCTACAGCAGTATCTGTTTCTTGTTCAAATACGCCAACACTTTTTAGCGACATCAGTGTCTTCGTTGTACGTGGAATAGTTGTTCGGGCCTTGACAAGGTCGATGTCTTGCTCGCGCATATTCCCCCATCGCAAGCCCTGTGGCAGCTCTCGCGTTTCTGGTAAATCAGAGAGCTTGAACAGGAACTTGTTCAACTCGGCATCGGGACCCGGAAGCTCATCTCGTAGAACTCCTGCTTCGCGAAGGATTTCAACTACATCGCAATGAACCGCACCTAACGTAACGACCTTTGGCATAAGGAGATGTCGCATATATGTTCCTGGTGATATTTTGTATGCGCCATCAGTCGGTGGGGTTGGATGTTCTTCTTCATGCTGCTTTGCCAACTCCAGAGCAGGCAGATTATCGGAGCGCATCGGTGGGGTGGGGAGTGTAGCCATGTAGTCTAGTAATGCCATCACCGCCTTCTTATCCTCCTGTCGAAATTTTGGTGTCAAGTTTGAGCGAAGAGGCTGTTCTGCGCTACTGAAGATCCATAGCTCAGTCTACAGATGTGGAGATGCGAAGTCAGTGTATGTCTCACATGCATTTCGTACAGTCATAACTTACCTCCGGACGCATGGAGCGGTCGAGGTATGCTGCTGCCCAACATTCTGGGATTTCAGAGGCTGACGGAGGGAATGTGGCGATTATGTGGGCGTGCTCAGTTCGGTTGGGGTGTTGGATTCTGTAGACGAGATTGACGCTGTATGGTAGAGCGGATTTCAGGGCGCGCTGTAGGATGGGTGACGAGGCAGAGTGGGCGTAGGCTTTCATTTTTGGCCTTGATAATACTGAAAGGCTAGGAATGCAAGCACATGTGATGATAACCAGCCAGATTTTTCAAAGTTGAGACAGGTAGTTATGGAAGCTCTTGAGTCACGACGTAATGCTTGTAGTTATGTACCTTCCGTGTTGGGATTGATTGATGACTAAGACCTGTGTTGTTTAGACGAAGCCTTCCAGGCTTGATCAAGCTTCAACTTTCTATACCCGCTTGTCCTTTACAGATTTGTCGTCCCATGGCTCAACGACAAGCTTGAGATTCTGGCGGGATAGTCTCAGATATACTTTGTCTTTACAGTCTGCTTCAAGTTGTGCCACTGACTCTTCTTTAATCCAAACCCACTGCTTTCCGTATTTGGTGACCTCTGTCTGGTTTCCTTTGTTGTCCTCAACCTTTTCCTTCTCCTGTAGCTGATGCTTTTCTGTGATCAGTTCCCAACTCGACATCTTTCGGAAAGCCAGATTGTGGACATGACCAATAGGTCCTGAGATTATCCCATGCGCTGCACGTAACTGCGATATGTGTTTAGGGTACTTTGTATCGCGTCTCGAGAAGAATAAAAGTTGCTTGAAGGCTTCGTCCTCGAATCGCAAATTCCACACCTTCATCTTCTCCAAGTGAGATAGCGGGACGTGCAGCTCCACGGTCCGGCGGTCTGCGACTGGACAGGCATCTTTGATTAGATTCGCGTAATGTTTGGCCACCCATAGCTGATTCGTGAAATACAAACCACCTCTTCTCGCGAAATCGGTTGGTCCGGTCGATTCTAGACGTGCCAAATCGACTGATCCATCTTCAGAGATGACACCTTCGCATCTTCGGAACTCGACGCTCTTGTACAGAGCGAGATGACCACCAGGCATTTGAGGGACCGTGTATTCATCTCCTGCTCCTCCTCTCAGATTTACTCCCGATGAAGGAGCCAACTCTTCTAGTATGCGGGCGTTCATGTCTACGAGGGCAAGATAGTTCGTCTCGATGATCTCTTCGAGCCAGTAAGACAGTGACTGAATCCCGCGTATGGTTGCATGCTCTTCTCTCATGATGGCAAGCTGTACTTCCTTCTTAATCCCAGCCTCTTCCATGAACTTCACCCAGTCATCGGCGGAATCTTGTGCATCTTCACAGATTGCGACGACATAGTCGATCACCCATCTTTCTATAGAGATGGGTGCTCCAATCTCTTTCTCTTTGTCGCGCCTGCTCTTAAAGAGCTCCAAGGCTTTGCCTTGAGTAAGACCAAGAAATTCGTTCGTCTGTGGAGAGTTGAAGTGTGTTGGTGTCGAGATGAATCGCGTGGTGGTTGATGTCGAAGATTGACTGGAACTGCTTGTGGACGAGATGCTCCTAGACGAGATCGAAGTGGGCGGGCTTAACAAGCCTAGAGAAATCTTTCTTGTTCCGTTCTCTTCCGGCTGTATAAGGGAGGTGTCTCGATTCTTAACGCGCATGATGGTGTCGACGGGGAGGATGGTCGGCGATGTCATTGTGGTGGTTGTCGCTGAACAGATAGATAGCGGAGTCGAGTAGATGGAAGGGTAGAGTGTATGGAAGAAGAAGATAAATAGAAAAGGAAAGTATCTCTTGGTTTTTGTATGTAGAAACGACCACGACGGTGCGGGGAAAGCAAACGCTTACCGTGGGTGAGGGCAAACGCCTGCCGTGGGTGAGGGCGAGCTCGCCAATAGAGGTGAAGTGAGTTGATTCTTGCAATCGCAACCAGCGTTGGCAACGGTACATAATACGTAATACGGTACGATTGAGCCTATTGTGAGTCACGTACAGAGTGGATAACACCTTCGTTCATGGTACCGCCAATGTCGTTGCACATTGAGACGGCGTGCTCTGGAACGCACCAAACTGTTCTATATATGAGCGACGAACATAGCGCCAGGGCACATCACTAACCGTGAAAGCTACCGCAGTGTATGCTGTCTTCTCTTTTGAGACGAGGACATGGAAGTTGGCCGCCAGTGATATACACGAGGAAGATGACTTGAAGTAATCCATCATCAGCATAGCAGACCACAGCGTATGTCCATATGCAGCAACCGCATAAAAGGATTCCACGTGTATATGCCTCTTGTACTAATTTCGCACCCCAGAACATTAGACAATCAGTGTTGATGATATCTGGGAATAAGATTCAGCCCATAAGATTGTGGAAAGGTGTAGGACAAAGCTGACACATCACAATCTTCAAATTGTTGAAGGGTGGAGACACATCCATTACTTCGGGTTGGGAGACAACAATATCAAAACTTTGAATTTGTGTTTTAGAGAGCATAAATTTTGGGTATCGAATGAGTAGACAAAGGCAAGGGCATGCAAGAATGATGATGGTTGTGGTGATAAAATGATTATCATGATAAAGATGATGACCATAGGATATCTCCTTACATACATACCATCTTGTGTATTTGTACGGCTCACGACTTACAGCTCGTCTCTCTTTCTTCTCTGTCCACTTCCTTCTTGCTGCGCTTGTGTCTCCTGAGTCTGCGCCTCATGACGCTTCGCGCTCTCCACATCCTCTTCCCACATCTTCTTCTTGGGATTCCTCGGCTTATCGCTCTCCTTCAGTACAGTTCCGTCGCCCAGTGTGACGGGTCCCTCATCTTCATCCTTCTTCTGTTGCCTGAACTGTGGGTGATCAGGCACCTCTTCCTGCTGCTGCTGCTGCTGCTGCTGATTTTGTTCCGCCATTTGGCCTACTTGTTGCGAGTAAGAGCCTTGCGGACTAGGATCCTGACCTTGCCTGTTTACTCCGCCTCCACGACCGACAGGGACGTAGTGTGGTTGGGCGTTGGGCTCGCGTCGGGGTATGCCACCTGTTGCGCTAGGTTGGACAATAAGAGATCTGGAGGACGAGGAAACTGCGACGCTCGATGATGCGGCTGAAGATGCGGCGCCGAAAGGCAGGACAGCGAAAAGGATGCGAAAGGTAAGCTTGATCGGCCAGATGAGGAACCAGGTGAGTGGGCCGTATAACCAGCGACGGAAGACGAGCCAGATGATTGTGGTTAGGAGGATGTAGAATGTAGTCTCAAGATACCACGTGTCACTTTTTGTGCTCTTCAGTAGTGTCGAAACCAAGTTCTTGCTGTTGGCTAGTAATGTGTTTAGATCCGAGTACTGCTCCCCAAGATCCTGTAGGGCAGCGTTGGTCTGTTCGAGCGTTTCTTGTGCGAATCGAGAGCGCGATAGCTCGTCTTTCATCAACTGCGCTGTTCGGCGCAGAGCAGATGTGACGTCTGAAGATGCCTGAGCGACAACTTCGCCTTCTGATAGCCCCTGCTGTTGCTTTCGTTGGCGGTACGTAGAGGATGGAGTCGAGGAGCCTGATTGCAGGTTGGAGAAGAGGAGTTCGCGTTCCTTGAGCTTTGCGCGGTCGGCGTTGTGCTTGGCTGTGAGTTGTGCTTTCCGGTATTGCGATCGCGATCTACATGAAGACTGGTTAGCATGCCACACTAGAGGATGTAGTAAGGGGAAGACATAGTCACGTACGACCTCAAATCCTCTGTCAACCTTGCCAGTAGTACAGCAAGTCTGCTTCTCTCGCTGTCCTTGCTACTATCCCTCCTTCGCCCAGTAATGCCACCTTGTGACGTAACGTCCTCGACCTCTTGCCTCAGAAGTTCAAGTTCCTCTTCAATCCCCTTCAAGGTCTCATGTATCTCGGCACTAAGTTCCAACCGAACGTCGCCTTCTTCGGAATTGTCGAGTGGTTGCGAGCCTGGCTGGAAGTCTAACTTGGCTAAACGTTGGATGAGCTGGCCGACACCTTTGTTCGCTTCGGAGAGGGCGCTTAGGCGGGTGGTGAGGGATTGCGTGGTGGAGGGGAGGGGTGCCATTGTGGCTCGGACTACGGAGAGGGTTTGGTCGATGTATGCGACTGCCCTATGACGGAGATGGCTACGGTGGGCCGTTTGGCGGGGTGAAAGGGCGTAACGTGTCTGGACGGCTAGCTGTAGCGTGGCCCGCACAGAATCCTGAGCACGGACATATCGCGAAGAGGTTGCGACGAGCGTAGAAGACGTCGACTGCAGTGCAATTTTGACCCATCAGCCATCGGTACGCTGTCGCATCTATCTATCTTCTATACAAGCTAACAGAACACAGTCTGCATCGCCGACCCGCCGCTCTACAGTCGCCGCAATGATTACCAGATTCCTGACCGACGTCCGCGTAGCATTCAATCCCTTCTCCCCGCGCTCAAAACCCGCCCGCCTCTTCCTCTCCTTGATCCCACCGAATGCACGCCAAGATGGCATGAAGATTGAGTCCAAGATGCTGCCACGAGAGAGCAAGGAGCCTGCGAGCCTAGCTGTCAAGTTCAGTACGTACACGTTCCGCTCATTCGAATCGTGCATCTGGAGCAAACGCTAACATGGTCGCATAGAGGACGGCAAGGAGATGAAGCTCGATCTCAGCAACATGCGCATAACACAAGTCGTCGAGGAAGTCGACAGACACTCACGGTCGTTGGCACGGAAAGACGAACTGGCAGGCAACTGAGGCTTCAGTTTAAAGATATGATTGTACATAAGTATTAAACCACAGCATCGGTCGGCGTCACGGCAATATTCTGGGTTGGGCTGAAATGAGGCATTGATCATTTGTCTTATGACTCTATATACCGTCGTTGGTCGGCGTTATTCATGCACATTTATCTACCATCTACCCTCATGTTCTCACTCCAATGATGTTTACATTTTTTTCGTAACCATGGCTCCCATTAGAACTAGTTGGATGGGGCACCGGAGATGTAGAACCACTTGTCGATGCTGGGGTCGATAGGAGCGGGCGCCTTGTTCTCGCCCTGGGGGACGTTGAGCGAGCTAGCGTCGGTGCGGTCGGGAGAGTGCGAGACAGTGGTGTTGGTGCTACAAATTTGTCAGTAGGATGTCATTTAGCAGTAGGCAATCCACTACGTACAGGCTGATCTCATCCTTGGGGGTCTTGCCAGTGGCAAGCTTCTCCCAGGCCTCAGCACACTCGCGGACAATGTCCATGGCGTACTTCTTGTTCTTGCACTCGCCGGAGAAGGCGAACTGGTTCTCGGGCTTGCCGTCTGGGATCTTGTAGATACGGAACCACTCGTTTGTGGCACGGAGAAGACCGGGCAGGTGGCGCTCAACGTCCTCGACGTCGTTGAGCTTGGGGGCCAATGGGTCGTTCACGTTGATAACCATGATCTTCCAGTCAGTCTCGCCCTCGTCGAGCAGAGCCATGACACCGAGAACCTTGACCTGGATAACCTCACCAGGCTTGGCGACAAGCTCACCAATCTCGCAGACATCCAATGGGTCGTTGTCACCCTTGGCCTTGGTCTCCTGGTGAACAACGTTGGGGTCCTCCCAAGTCTGTACAACATCAGCACCTGTGTGATTGTCCGATATCGGGGTCGCGTCATCGTACCTGGGGGAAGGCACCGTAGTTCCAGAGGTAACCCTTGTGGGGGAAGCAGTTCCTCACGTAGCGGAGCTTGCCCTTCTTGATGTCCTGCTTGATGGGGTTGAGCTGCTCCTCCTTGGAGATCTGTTGCGATGGTTAGCCTGTGTCTTTGCGCGGAACCGTGAATAGGCCACGGCGCAGCCAATTGGGGTCAACGCACCTCCATCTTCGCGTTGGTCCAGCGGGGCACCTCAACAACCATGTTGAGGATGGTCTGCTGCTCGTTGGCGTAGAGCGGGATGTCGTGCCATGGCGAAACGAGCTGGCCGTCCTTCTCGATGAAGATGCGGTGCTCGAGCGTGTTGGCAGCGCCAATCTTGCGTGTGGTGTAAGACATGGTGGATGGGCTCTTCGTGGCAGCTGTACGAATGGCTGTGGAAGAAGAAGCTGTGGAGTTTAGATGGCCTGCAAGTAGACGAGCCCTAGAGTTGATTTTGTCGTTGAGGGGTCTACTAGTGGGGCTGGCAGGCGGGGAGCTCTGTTGGGAAGGCGCCACTGTGACGAACGTCACCGCCGACTGTCTGCATGAGACAGCCGTCGCAATAAGGAAGGGGAGCTTCGACCGGGAGATCAATTTCTGGGCGGGACTGAGCCGCAGCAGCGATTGATAGATGGGCATACAGACGGCACTCGTTTAGTAAACTACTAGATGGAAGTGCAGCCGATTCTCCTCTCACGCGAAGCCCAGACCGAGGATCAAAATGCGACCATGAGGTACGGGAGCGGGACCCGGAAGCTCCAGCTTTTTGTGCACGGACACCGAGGCTGCTCAAGTCGGCTTTTGTCCTTTGCGAATTCTTCTTCGAATTTTCGACATCACAGAGCGCAATCACATATCGTCAGGAGACCTGGATCGCTTCTCAGCATGGCTTGTCGACAGCTCGCGATTTGAGAGGGTGTTTGACTTCAAAAACAAACATGAGCTAACGCGCCATGCAGCAGCCATCACAACATCAGTACAGCTTATTCGGCCGCCAAAACCCAGGAGCCACGGTGTCGTTGACTTGTCTCGAATCCTGAACAGGGTTTCCCATCATTTCGACGTGATCTTCACGATTCTCATAGGTATCCACACCGCTCTCAAATCTATGCGACGTTGGCTCTTCCGGCAGCCCTTCCCAAACATGGTCATCGTACCCTATTGGATCACTCTGCTCCAGATAATCTTGGTCGTTATATGGTGTTTCCAGATGACCTTCGTTGGCTCCCAAGTGCAGAAGAAGCTGCTGGTGTGGTGCTTGTTGCTCATAGCTGCTCGGACCAGCAAAGTTTGGTGGTATCGATTCATGGTAGATCTGATCCACGAAGCGTACAGTAGGAGTCTGCTGAGTCGCACTGCAGAAATCTATTGAGTCTTGTCGGAGGTCCGACCTTGGGTTCACTCGATGGATTTCTTCGGTAGGTCTCCTACGCGGCTCAGCAGCATGACGCCTTCGATATAACGCATCACTGCATTGTTGCAGAGCGAGCCCTAAATCTGAAGACATCGGTATTCGATTCTGTTCAACGACGGTATCATCCTTAGGCTGGTTGTGGTTTCGATGCACAGCAAGGACGGGTGCTGAGGCTGGGGCAGGACCTGACTCGGTGCCTTTCGAGTTGCTATGTATTCGAGCATGGCAGACGTCTATGACAGGTGCAGACGCAAGGGGTGGCATTGATGGTGGTGAGCCAGCAGTGTTGGCCTCTTGTAGCCTCGCAGGTTGTTGGACAAGATTCGGCCTCCGTAGAGACGAGCTGCGTTGAGGCAAGGACTGCGACCTTGAAGCCCTATCTTGTAATGGAGCAGAAGAAGGCATCTTGAAGCGAGCGGCAGGCATGCTATCAGTTCTTCGTTTTATCGCTGCTAGTGGACGAGTCGGTAGCCTGAAGGCATCATGCTCTTTTCCTTTCCTAGTGTCAGATTCACTATAGGAATCTACATTATGCAGACTGTGCCGGGCGGGAGGGCTGCAGGGCTGCGCTGGTTTTGTGCTAGGCGCTCGAATCGACCCTGGCCAAGATACGTAGCTAGTACTGTCATGTTGAGGGCCTCTACTTCCGAAGCCCAGGTAAGACGTTGGGTGCGCTACCACAACAGTGGATGTAGCAGTCTCATATACAGGGGGGTGATCACGATGACACCGCTCGTTCCTCGAAGCAGCATGTTCTGAGAGCCTGCTGCTGTCCTTCTCGACCAATAGGGGGTGCACTGAGGTAAAGAAAGCGGAAATCTCCCCCTCCTTCGTTTGTTTCTGGTCTTTTTTTCGCTTCCTTTTGACCAGATTAGGACGTACTACGACCTCTGGTTCGTCCCTTTGTTTCTGTAAGAACTTCATCTCGGAGAAGACTAGATCGGGCACTGCGACATGTCAGCCGGAGAATGTGGGAAAGGGTTCCAAGATACCATATCAGCCATGCCACAGGAGCGAAGACGGGCCACTCACATCCGCGACCCTTGAAAGCGGTAGACGTCCGTCCCTTGTTGAAGATTCCTAGCTGCTCTCGCGGCTTCAACTGGTTCAATAGTCAACCCCGTGCAGTACGTTCGGATAACCGCATGGATGTCTTACAGTCAGCCGATCTCTGGGCACATTTTTGGCCTCGAGGGTCCGGATGACAGCAGGTAGCTTCTTGCCCTTCTTACGTCGAGGCTTGCGCCTCGTCGTCTTTGATTCGTCCTTGGGGTCGCGACGTGCATAGGGGGCTGGTTCATATCGCTCAGGGCGCGTTTTTCTTCGAGGTTTGCGCGCATACCGGCTGCTGCTAGAGCTATCACTGCACATCGCCCGGAAGGCCTCGCCTGCACTATCATCCACTGACTCGTGCGGAGGAGATGCAGGCGGACGGGGATCTAGGATTGAGCTATCTGATTTGCATCGACGTTTCCGTTTAGTGGACTCTACAGGCCGTTGATGTCTAACCGGCTCGCGCTGTGTTTCCGGTCGGACTATCTCGTCTAGCCACTTTCGAATATCCATGGCATCCTGCATTCTAGATGAACCTTTTCGACGAAAGAGTCTGGTTGTTTCTTTGATTTGATTAATCTGTGAAGCTCGAAGGTTGATGTGGTGCTACCACGTGGCGCAGATGAGCGGGAGGTCGTGGTGGTGGATCGGCAACTTGTGCGATGGTTGGTCACTTTGGAAAGGGTGCCGACTGAGAGGCGTTCTCACAGTCTAGGACATATTGAATGTATGTCAGACTCTGTGGAGTCGCTTAAACTCAATATCATGGAAGGTGCCAGTGGGTGCTGTGATTTTGACGCTTCCGTCATCGCCAGTGCCACTGCACTGCTGAAAGAAGGCACGACCAATGGAGGACGCGAGTGAGTCTTCCATGTCGGTATCTCAGTACGTTCTATCACTGTAATTTGGAACGATCAAAAGCCCCCTTTAACTTCTGTATCAACTGGTAGTTTCCGACATCATTGGATGACTTATCCTGCCCTGGAACCGGGCTCCGCGAACGCATCATCTTGGCATCGTACTGCCACATGCGTCAAGCCGCTATCGCAACGGGACGAATGCGGAACGTTCTCTTTGTCGGATTTTCTGGAGATGCACGTATTCATGGTACAGGGCAATTTGTCCAATTTGCGCAGCCTCGGTATATCTCGGTAAACGCTGCCACTGTGCCCGCTTTCCACTACCGATGATAGGAACGTGCTACATAGAGTCAACGAGGGCGGTACGACACGTCCTGGCACAGCAAGATCTGGTCATATATCTGCCGCCAGTCTTACGATAGTGCGCTTCCAGCTTTCTACATGTTGACGTCGCGCGCACGAGCCAACCTGGGACGCAGAGGGCCTGGAAGTCTAGTTTAGGCCCGATCCCCACACCGTCAGACTAGGGATGGCGACTTGATAAGCTTCTTTGAACCACCACCTTCTGTCCAATGCCTGCCCGCCGTTGACCTTTCGTCACAGCCCGATAGTTTTGTTGTAGCGACGGGCGCAGATCGCTGCTGTCTGGAGCACGCAATCTGCTCTATCCGCAGGCTTGTCCATGCACGTATTTCGCAGCGACCCAATGACGCCTCCGCACTCATGCCGGCACTCTGAACAGGGACGATAGATCGGGGCACCTATCAAAAAAATCGTTTTCTCTGGCTCGCCAGCGGCCTTGTAATTGGATACACCTAGTCTTAGCCTAACGTGGGCTGCATATACCCAGCATGAACAAGCAGACACGGGAACACACTAAAGAGCCAGCTTGCCGACATGTATGTATGGCAGAACCAGTATCTGCACCCTATCCATCGTCAGGTGCAGGCTCCCAGGCAAGGCATTGGGACGAGCTAGCTGCGAGGGGTCAGTTCCGTTTGCTGTGCTGCAGGCCATGTCCGAACTACGAGACACTCTGCTTCGACTGGCTGGAGAGGCACATTGCATCCCGTTGCTCGTGGCCATCCACGTCGCTTTATAAACCGGGCCCTCAGCTATCCAGTCCGTGCGCCAACCTTTGACTTGCATACAGCCTAGCGCTCTTTCACCTGGTGGAGGGGTACTCATATCGTCGCTTGCCCCGCCAACCTAGACGCTTCACTATCTCTGCTCCTCACCCTGTGCCATCACATTATTGCGACAGCTTGCAGCCAACTTCCTCCCCCTCTAACTCTTCAGAGCAATCGCTTGCGCCATCCATACCAATACAGCCTGGTGCTACAAGATCAAATGTTCGTTCCGTCACGTTGCTACATACTGCCTGCCTGGGAAGCTGCGATGGATTCCTCGCCTTCCTGCACCTTTCCTTCGCTCTACAACTCCTGTCACTACCTGTCTTGAGCCCTTTTGTATCGCGCGCTTTGTTTCGAGTTGCGAGAGCTAGTATTGAGACCGTTCAGTGTTCGACCCAGACATCATTCACCATGTCTAAGCTCTTCATTGGGTAAGTGCGCCTTCTTCTCCCAGCGCTCACGCGACTGACCCTGAACAGAGGCCTCGCATGGCATACCGACGACCAAGCTCTCCGTCAAAAGTTCGAGGAGTTCGGTGCAGTCGAAGAAGCCGTAAGTGACACGTTACTCTACCAGTATTCTCGTCAAGGTTAGGCAGAGGCTGACATCATCTCAGGTCGTGGTTAAGGACCGCGATACTGGTCGTAGCCGAGGCTTTGGCTTCGTCCGCTATGCGCAGGACACTGAGGCCGATGCCGCTATGCAGGCCATGAACAACGAGGAGTACGTACACACTCCTCTCAGACACTTCCCCAGTCGCTGGGATGCTTAAACAAATTCGCTGACTCTGCTAGATTCGATGGACGTAGGATCCGTGTCGACAAGGCTTCTGACCGCGCTGGCGGCGGCGCTCCCCGTGGCGGCGGCTACGGCGGCGGTGGTGGTGGTGGATACCGTGGAGGTTACGGCGGCCAACAAGGAGGTAAGCTTTCTGCCTCGTATCCGTTCTGAAACTGTACTGACTATTTCCCCAGGCTATGGTGGCGGTGGCCGTGGTAAGCACATCTCGCTCATCTATGCACAGTGAAGACTAACTAGGAAAGAAGGTTACGGCGGCGGCGGCGGCGGCTCTTGGGGACCTTCCCAGGGCGGCGGCGGTGGCGGATACCAGTCTCGCGGTGGCTACGGTGGCGGCCAAGGCGGTGGTCAGGGCGGCTATGGAGGACAAGAGGGTGGTCAAGGTGGTGGCCAGCAATGGTAAACATCTCGACGAACCTTCGTCCTACAGTCTTGTGTTCTCAGAGTAACCAAAGGTACAGACTTGCTGGTTAAGGGCAAGAGCGCTTCTGTGCTTGAACTGGCTTTACACCAAGGAAATCGTTTGGACGTTAGCCGACACTGCTCCTCCTTCGAATGAGCATCATCATTCTCATGGACGTTTCTCATTATGTTTAATGGCAGTAGAGGTGGTTGGTACTGAGAGATGAGATACCCATTGAATCAGGAGGTGCTGCTACTCTGTACTTGTCGCGCGATAAGGTTTCGGTTCTTTTGCACACTCTCTCACGACCTCTTCGTAGTCTTGATGGCTTGTCATCGATCCAAAAGCTGTGTCATTTGAACGAGTCATTTCAATCTATCCAGTAAAGTGGCTACTAAAAAGCAAATAATGGTCCAGCTCTAGCAAGGACCCTCACTTGTATTCGCGTCGCAACCGTGCGACACAGTGGGATATGCGCATCTTCCTGAGATGTCCGTATCACGTCACTATCGCTGTGATGAGGCTCTGCGGTCTCTAACGGATTTCTCCACAAGACGTGAGTTTGCGACAACGCTATCTCCTCTCACCACCCACTTGATGGGGCACTTTCGACGGCAGCTAATCCATTACTTAATCGTATGCACTAGAGCACAATGTCAGCACATTAAGAAAATGCAGCAACCAAGACAGCGCATTGTGATCATTACTGCATACTGCATACTGCATACATAGCCGCCGGAAATTCCTGTTGCAGCTGCAGTACCAACGCATAGTAGAAAGGCAAGTTTCTGCAAGTTTCTGCAAGTGCTGACTGGGCTGCCTGCTGGGAGTCAGGCGCACTCCGTGCTGCGTTTTGTATAGTCCTCGCGCACGCACTTCCGCACCTTTGAATGCTTTTGCTGCTGCCTAAGATGATCTTCATCCAGGCCCGTCAGGCCGCCAGGATGCGATCGAATATCTTGGGGTGAGGAGGCCCGCTGACGACCCCGCCTCACCACTCCTCCACTATCGCGACTCGCCGATACCCAATACTCCACCGCATCTGTTTTGCTTGTTCTACAGCCGGTTGGAACTACTTCAAGTACATCATGAAGAGTTGGAATGGGTTGGAGGATGCGACGGCGCCGGTCAAGCCTCGACGGACCCCAACGCGGTGGCGTGCACTGTCTGCGACCTTCGTCACACTCGTTTGTCTCGCAGCAGTGGATACCATTTTTCCTGAATTAAAGAACTGGGATCTGTCCTTGTCTCTGGACGAAGAGCCTGCGTTGCATCATGCCGCTTTTGAGTGGTCCAAGGTATGTTGAGAGAGCGTTCCTTGAGCGTCGCACCGCACACGTGGTTCTGCAGCCGCTTTGGCCGGCAACTTATCAGGTCAAATAATATCGCCCACTCGAGTCGCACAGCAGATGACTACTTTAATTCCCAGGTATGTCCTAGACACATGCCAGAGCACCGCAGGCAACTGCTGTCTCATAGGGCTCAATGGAAAATTCTGATCGTGATTGGTGGCCCGCTCATACTGCACTCTGGCTTTCATCAACAAACAGTCATGGCCTATGTTCAAACACCTTGTCAATTCCAGCGAATTCCAGCTTTCCACCAACTAGCTTATCAACACTATTTCAGCACCCTGTAGTATGACTGGTGGGAAGAAGACTAATTAAGCTTCAGATCGCTCCGAGTGAGCATCTAGAATTCCACAAATGCTTCGGCAGATTTGAATGCGCAAAACTAAGCCTACCATGGGACTACTTCAACGGCACCTACCCTAATCATACCGTCAGTATCGCTATCACCAAGATACCTGCCAGAGTACCCGTGGATGATGCTCGCTATGGAGGTCCGATCTTATTCAACCCCGGCGGTCCAGGTGGCCCAGGTGCTGCAGCTGCAATTGTGTTAGGACACGCGCTACAGCAGATCGTGGACTCCAGTGTTGAGATTTCCACGCCCTCCATCGATGCAAGATACTTTGATGTCATCGGATTTGACCCCCGCGGAATCGGCTGGACGGAACCTGTTGCTCGATGCATGCCAGATCAACCTGCTTCGTGGTCCTGGAAATTGAGAGAGGAGACGGAAGGACTTATCGGAAGCTCGGATGCAGCTCTCGGTAGACTTTGGTCTATGAAACATGCTTTTGGCGCATCCTGCAAATTAGCTGAGGAGGACCAAGAGGGACCGGATATCAAGCAGTATATGGCGACGGCATTCGTTGCTAGAGACATGTTGGAGATCACTGAGAAACACGCCGAGTATGTCGCAAACGAGGTAACTCGGAAGGCTGCGCAGAAGGCCGGTAAGCGTCCCGGATACTACAGTTCCACGTATGCCCCAGGGGAAAGCAAGCTGCAATACTGGGGCTTCTCATACGGGACACTACTTGGATCCACCTTTGCATCCATGTTTCCCGATCGTGTTGGGCGTCTCATTCTCGATGGTGTTGTCAGCTCATACGACTACCAAAATTCCCTTGGCAACGGAAGCCTTACAGATGCCGAAAAGGCCATGGCCTCATTCTATACCTTTTGCCATAATCTGGGTCCTGCTGAATGTCCCTTGGCAACTACGAACTCAAGTGTCTCGGATATAGAAGATCGCACGCAAGACATCATCGCATCGCTGTACCATAATCCGCTTCCCATCGTCTCGCCTGATGGTCCAGACTATCTTACTTGGTCTGATCTCAAACTACTAATCTTCGGCGCTACCTACCAACCACGCTTGATGTTCCCATTCGTTGCAGACATTTTAACCACCATTGAACAGGGAGGGGGCTCAGCGACCGACCAGCTCGCTAGTATGTTCCACTACAACCACGTTCTTTTTTGCCCTGCCAACAGCACCGAAGCATCTGATACGCCAGTGCCCGACGTGGCAACTACGGCTATCTTATGCGGCGACGGCATTGATCAAACTCACCTCACTAGAGACGAATTCGAAGCATACTGGAATATCATGGACACCCTTTCGCCGAACTTTGGCTCCTACTGGTCCATGCTTTTGATGAGTTGTGCAGCATGGAAAATCAAAGCCAGCTACAAGTTCGAAGGCCCTTATGGTGGCAACACATCGCACCCTATCCTCTTCATAAGCAACACAGCAGACCCTGTTACGCCTCTTCGCAGCGGACGCTACATGCATAGCCTCTTTCCCGACAGTAGCCTTTTGATCAGCGATCATGTTGGCCATTGTTCGATTTCCGCACCCGATATCTGTAGCTTGAGCCGTGTGAAAGCATACTTTCAGACGGGTGAGCTACCGTCGCCGGGTACTGTTTGCGTACCGCCACCTAGCCCGTACAGTCTCAACTCGACGGATCCCGATAGTCCGTTCTATGACCCCTCGTTAGGTAGCACCAATGTTGCCAGATTCCGGGAGATGGACTCTGACGGGGCAAAGCTACTAGCTGCCGGTGAGTGGTTGCAGAAGCGAGTTGCTGCAAGCGATATGTTCGGCCTAAACCTGCCTGTCGCCGAAAGGGTCAATCGAGCTATGCAAACATTCTTGAAGGAATCGCTATCAGGTTCAGATTATGCTGTATTCGCCTAGCCGTGCGCTATTCTAGAGAACGGCTTTTCTGAGCTATGTGCTTAAGAGACCAGCCTGCTTCTTACGCGCTGTATCAAGATAACGTACTGTACTGTGATTACTCAAACTCCCTCAAATCGCCGACGCATTTTAATTTTCATCGAAGAGGTATACTACCTACATTTGAACTTACCATAATGTGATCACAATCTCTCCGACACTGGGAGAACAAGTCTACTTTTGTCTATCCTAATCCTAGGTTATCATTGGCTAATGAAGGATCAAAATGCACTATTTCGTCAAGCCAAAGAAGATCCTCACTCTATCAACTCTTACTGCATCGCCTCTCTCCACTCTCCACTGCATTATCCAGCTTTGTTGTGATACAAAAAAAATACTTAGCTTATACGAATATACGATTGCATGTAACAGCTATCTCTCAAGGTTCAGTTTTCCTTTATGATGATGGGTTTGGCTAAAAACAGCAATGGTTTTAATTTCGGACACATTCGCGAGCCTCTCACAATCTGTCAAACACGCTGCTAGTTCTAACATACGGTATTTAGAGATAGACTGTGTATTCTCATACACGGGAGCATGCTGAAGTATCGCGATTGATAAGTGACAGATGCCAGTGACACTGTACACAGAGGTCGTGTCGCATACTTGTTCATGACGAAGCATGTGCCCAGCCCACAAACATCATAGCAAACTCACATCGTGGATGCATGAGCATGGCGAGACAAGAAATCTGAACACAGTATCGTTTTTAGCACGAACATATTTTACATACAGCTTAACTTTAGAACGCCCAATTGCGCCCCACCCGGTTTTGTGCACCCAGAATGTTGCAGCAGCCAATCCAAGCATACAAGCTATCTACTCCTCCTCCTCTTCTTCATCACTGTCCTCCTCCATACCCTCTGCAGCCTCAACCTCGAAGCTAGGCGCCTGGTCCACACCAAGATAGCTATCACTGACCAGGAAGCAAGTCAACTCATGGTGACCCGGCTTCTCGAGCGTGAACTCAAGTACAGTCTCCAACTTCCTAAGGATAGGCACCTTTTTGATCGCAAGCAACGTGCGTTCTTTCTGGTCTCCAACGACCAGCCACCAGCTCTCCGTCTTGTCGGCAGGATAGAACGGTGCGTGAACCTCCATCTTAGGTTCCTCATCCTCCTCAATGTTGCGTGTGATGCGCACCTTGAGCTGGGCGGGCGAGTTAGAAGCGATGGATTCAGGATCGACGAGTTCGTGCTCGATCTCGATGTTGGGGTAGAAGTTGTTTGTAAAGTTTGCGATGTCAGCGAGTTGGCGTTGGTCGACGTTGAGGGCTGAGATGAGCTTCTTGTAATCTGGGTTCTCGTCTTCGTCCATGGCATTGATGAAGTCGTCGACGTCGTTGATGCTGAACTTTTGCGCTGCCTTGACGGTGTCGGCGTCGAAGTGGGGGATTTGCTTGAGGG